CCCCACCCCCAGCGCCAGCCGGGGGCCCTGGCACTTGGCGCCCGAGGCCACCGCGGCGGGCTGGGAGGAGTCGGAGACGGAGACGGAGACCTACACGGAGGTGGTGACGGAGTTTGGGACGGAGTTTGGGACACAGCTGGGGCCCGAGGAGGACCAGGAGGAGGAGGAGGTGGTGGTGGTCATGGCCCCAGAGTTCCCTTTCACCACAGCCGAGACCTACACAGTGAACTTTGGGGACTTCTGAGCCCCGAGCCAGCTCAGTGGCCACCAGCACGCGGGAGCCCCCTGCCCTCGGTGTAGCCCGGCCGGGAGGGGCCACGCACAGAGCGACACCGAGGAGCCAGGCTGTGCAGGCAAGCTCCTGCCTGCCTCCGACGGCCCGGCGCGCACACACTCAGCCACCTGCCCGTCAGCCGCACCAATAAAGCAAGCTCATGGCAGCCGTGTGGCTGAGCACTTGGGGACGGGGAGGAGGGAGAGCGGCATGCCACGCGAGTGGCCCCGGCCAGCGTCAGCTCTGCCTGGGAGCTCAATACCAGCACACCGGTCAGGCTTTTTTAAAAAAGATTTTATTTATTTCAGAGAGAGAGAGAGAGAGAGTGCGCGCAGGGGGAGGGGCAGAGAGAGAGAGAGAATCTCAAGCAGACTCCACGCCCAGCACAGAGCCCAACATGGGGCTCAATCTCACGACCCTGAGATCAGGACCTGAGCCGAAATCGAGAGTCAGATGCTCAATGGACTGAGCCACCAGGCGCCCCCATCAGGCTTTTATTATAAAGCAAATGCTGCTGCAGGGTCAGTGTTGCACAGAACGGATAGCTGGGGTTTCTGTCAATCAGGGGCCCAGACCCAAGCCCCCCAGGTCCTCGTCCTCTGCCCCAAAGCCCGAGAAGCTGATGGGCTGGCAGGCCAGGGTACGCAGATTCACAAGGCAGGCGGTCTGTGTGGTGCTGAAGTCGGGGACGGCCACCAACAGCACCCTCTGGTCCTCTGGGCCTGCAAAGAAGCCACACAGGCACACCTCCCCCACTTAGGTTCTGGGTGGACCCTGGCTCCAAGGGAAGTCACCAGAAGCAAACAGGATTTCCCCATCAGCCCCGTGGGAGTGGTGGCCACAGAAGCTCCGGAAGGGCCGAGGGCAGCATAAAGGTCAAAGGCTAAAGCCCTGCTGACCAGAGGTGGGTGCTGAGCCTCTGCACAGGTGTGGACCGGTCAGCCCCCTGCCCAGACATGCTCAGTCAGCTGGCCACTAGGCCGGCCACCTACCCCACGGGGCTTGGGGACTCCAGGGAGGTCTCCTCTGTAAGCCCTGTCCCCAGGACAGAGTCCCTTGTGACAGCCCAGACCCGGGGCCCCCAGAACACAAGACTCACCTAGGAAGATTTTAGAGCCAAACTTGGGGGTGTTCCCGCAAAAGTAGACGTGAGGGCACTCCGGGAAGATGAATGGGTCGGTCTTATAGAAAGGGTAGCAACCTGGAGAAAGCCCACAGCGGCTGGGGCTTCTCAGTTCCGCAAGGCACACGGTCAGGGTGCCCTACCCCGGCCCCTCACACATGCTCTGGCTACGCTGGTAGCAGCCCTGCCTGCGGTGACACGGCCCCACGGCCCTGGGGTCAGGTCAGTGTGCCCTGCTGGGTGGGCACTGTGGCAGGGCGCCGGGCTCTGCCCAGCCGGAGCTCCCAATATGCTCCCCAACAAAGGGCCTTGGCTGCAGACAGAGCTAAGGCTCCAGAGGAGGTTCCAGAACTATGTCAAGCTTTTGGGTTTTCCCTTAGGTCATGGCAGGACCGGTGAGTGCCAATCCGGGCTGCCAACCCTCTGGGCATCAAGGCCCCGGATCAGGACTCCCTTGGCCCTCTGGCGCCACCCCACGTGGCTGAGTCCCATTACCTAGCGTGTCAGGGGCTGTGGGGCTGATGTGACGGACGCGCAGGGTCCACTCCAGGATCTCCAAGTGATCCTCCATGCTACTGTACCGGAAAATGTCACTCACATTTTGTCCTGATGTTCCCAGGAATCTGCAAGGCAAGGCTCAGCTGATCCCCACCCTGGGGGGGGGGGCCACTGCCGGTCCTCCCACAGGAGCCAGCCCAGAGCTCACCAGGCACTCTCATGGCGGGTGTTCCAAGCCGACTCTGAGAAGGAGCCCAGATCCAGTGGGCCCTCTGCAGCCCTGGACCCAACCCTCCCCTCTCAGTGCCACTGAGCACAAGGCCAGGGATCAGACAGGGGTGTGGCTGCAGCTGGCTACCTGACTCCATCGATGGTGGCTTGGTAGGGATTGGTGACCAGCTGGAGGGTGGAGTAGGCAGTGGCCAGTGGGAACATGCAGGGGTGCAGGGGTTGCTGGGGGAGCGTGTAGTTGGTTGGGTCAAATTCGCCTGGCATCACGTCCACGGGTACCGACGCCTGGAGGGCACAGGGGCAGGGGAGCTTGCAGGGCCCGGTGCCCTCCAGATCCCCCTTCCTCCCGTTCCCTGGCCCGCCTTCCAGTGCCCGCTGCCGCTTGGCAGACTCCAATCTCATCATCGGCCAGCCCCCAGCTCGCTCACGCTCAGCTGCAGGAGGATCTCATCCAGCATTTTGACCGCCTCCACGCTGGCTGCCTGGGTTTTCTTGGTTAAGTACTTGGCCTGGGGATAGAAGTCCGTAGGCTGTCAGGCCCCAAGGCAGGCTCAGAGCAAAGGGACACTTTGAGCCCCGGCCGGACGGCAGAGAGCGGAGCCCCACTGCTCGGGGATGGTAGGAGTTCTGTGCCACAGCCCCCACCGCCCTCAGAAAGCAGGGCCGGAGCAGAGACCCCAGCAGCGCTGCGGGGCACTGGCCACCAGACACTCGAGACCCCGCCTCTCCCTGGGGAAGGAGGGGCTCGAAAGAGGGCGGGTGGGCGGGCGGGGGCCATACCTTGTTGATGGAATCTCTGCTCTGGGTGTTGTAGCTCAGGAGGTTCCCAGCGAGGATGACCCGGGACACGTGGGCAGCGCTGCACTGCTCCCCCTCGTCCCCCAGCTGCCCTGTCACCACGTCCACCAGCAGCTGGGTGCCCAGCAGGCTCTCGCCCCCGCCTCCACCCAGGCCCAGACCAGACACCAGCAGCACAAACCTGCAGGAGAAGTCGGGGTCCTCCTGGGTGCCGAGAAAGCAGGTGTCCCCCCGCTGCCCCCACCCGGCCACTGGCGGAGCTCTGCCCCGGTCACAGGTGAGCAGGGGACATGGAGCCCAGCAACTGTGACTCCCCTGGGCCACTGGCCAGGCCCCCGAGCACCTGCTCCTCACCTGTCTGTGTCAAGGGGGGGTGCGGGCTTCTGAGGAGCCAGCTCTGCAAAGCAGTGGTCCTCCACCAGGAACTTCCCGCTGTCTCTCGCAGAGCCGAGCACGGCCAGCACTGTCCCTGGGGAGCAGCAGTGTCAGGCTGCAGGAGGGAGGCCTGAGAGGCTGCCATCTCCTTTCAGGCACCCCCAAAGCAAAACCAGCCAGTTCTCTTCTGCCTCACTTAGGACTCGGGGCCAAGGGTCTGCTTCCTGCCTCCCTGGGCCTCACACACTGCCCGACCCTGCACCCACCGCTCTGGGGATGTAGGGAAGCAGCAGCATCTCCAGGCACGGGCCGCCCCTCCCCCCCCACCTGTGACCAGCTTTGATGCGTCAATGCTGCCTTCTAGTTTGATGCGCTGCAATTCGTCTTCCAAGATCAGCTCGTCATCGGGGTGGATGTACTTGCTCCGAGGAGGCTGGGGGAGCAGGTTGTGCTGGAAGACGGAGACTGGGGGGAGTCTTGGGGCCAGAGGCTGGGTCCTAAGGCTCCCAGGCCCCATCAGCAAGATGGCACTGCAGCCCCCAGCCCCCCGGGGACAGAGGCCCAGCTCTGATTCCCTGGGCATACGGCTGGTGGTCCCATCGGTGCCCCCAAGGCAGCGTGCCGGCCTCACCTCTTCGCTGATCTCCCGGAGGATGGAGGGCTGGAGCGGCATGGCCTTGAAGAGGGTCCCCACCACACAGCACTTCTCCCCAGGCTGCAGCTCACACAGCTTCTTTACCTGGACTCCATCACCTGGGCATAATGGGCATGAGCTCAGGGACCCAGCGGCCTCCCCCCCACCCCGGGACAGGGCACAGGCCTCCCCGCGCACCGCAGCTCATGGGCCGGGCCTCTGGGGGGAAGGAGAACATCAGGTACAGGGACCCCCCCCAACTCGAGCAGACTCGGCGCCAGGAGGATAGAGGGATGTGGCCGGGCCCTTGCATCCGAGGTCCTTGTAAGAAAGGCAGACACGCAGAGACAGGGGCGCGGGCAGCCGCCAGAACCTGGGAGAGCCGAGGAAAACGTGCTCCCGGCCGGCCGACACCTGCATTCAGACCTCTCGTCTCCAGAACGGACAGAGAATGCGGTTCTGGCGTATTAAGCTGCTCGGTTTGTGACTTTATTGTCTCTGACAGCAAAGAACAACCAGGAAACCGATAGAGTATTATGTCACTTACACCGAAATCGTAACACTCACTCTTAGAAAGAAGTACCCTGCCCTAAAAACCGGAGAGTGGCGCGGTGTGCAGGGCTCACCCAGGCAGGCCAGAGGAAGAAGCACAAGTCCCAGAAGGCCTGTGGGTTTGCCAGTAGAGCCGGAGCCTGAGAAAAATGCTGCCAGGACCTGATGGGATAATGGGGCCGCAGGACCAGCCCCTTCCAGAGCCCAGCTGCCCCTTCTGCCCTGGAATAACCGAGAACATTCCACAGATACACACCCTGGGAAGTGGAGGCTAGTAGTTCAAAACGAGATAAGGAGGGCGCCAGGAGCAGGGAGAAATGCCAGACACCCAGGGAAACAGCAGACTCCAGAGCTGAGCCCCCTCGCAACCCCTGGGGGCCGTGCCGAGCACTGGCCGTGAAACTCATCCGCGCCTGCCCACATGCAGGGTAGACGCTACTGCCCCACCACATGCTGAGGCAGCAGAGGCACAGAGAGGTTAAGTGGCACGCCCAAGGTTGCACAGCTGGGATCTACCGTGCACACCCAAGCACCAGGCAGAACCACACATCCCTGTGTTGAGGGCAGGACATCTGTCCAGCTGGACGGCGAGCGGACATCGGGCCAGGCACCAGCATCGAGTGAACAGCACGGCCCATCCTCCCCCTCACCAAGCTTACGACCCAGAGGGAGAGAGACGACAGTAGTCAACAAGGAGTCAGCCACTGTGACAAGTGCCACGGACACATGGGAGCCGAGGCAGAAGGTAGGAGAAAGCCCCGGTGGCTGACGTGGCCTCTCGAAGCACGTGACATTTAAGCTGAGGTCATGAGGGAAGACGGGGAAAGAGCATGCCAGGCGAAGGGAATGCCAGCAAGAAAAGGCTTCGCGTGTTCAGGAAGCTCAAGAGAGAGACACACGAGTCCCAAGGCTGAACTCTGGTCGGAAAGCCTGGCCACGCAGGGAATCCACTCGCAGGCGCTCCGGGAGAGGCCAGCATCCACCGCCAGGCCGGCGAGCAGACAGCGGTGCCGCCGTCCACCGCCCAGCCGAGGCTGCATTCATTAGGGGCCACCTTCTGACCTCCTGACCCGTCTGCGAGCAGACCGAGGGCTGTGTTTCTGTCACTGCACAGATGTCAGTCAGCAGCGGTGGTGACTGCAGGAGAAACCCGCACCAGAGCGGTGCTGTCGTAAAGGACCTAAACGGAGGCAGTGACACAGGGCCCGAGGAGGGGGTCCCCAAGGGCTTCAAGGAAAACGAGGAAAGGCCACTGGGAGCCACAGGAAGGAGACCCCATTACGTGGCAGAGGACACACGAACAGCACTAGCGACCCGAGACATCCCTAACAGATCTGATGGTCTAGTTCTCCTTGTTGCTCGTAATGAAACCAGAGTCGATCCCGTCGGCTCGGTGGGACGGGCCTGAGCGCCACTGCTCCCCGCAGCAGAGACCGGAGCTGGGACCACGAAGGCCAGGGATGGATGGCTAGGACACAGTCCCACCTATAAACATTTCAGATGAACTGAAAGCGGCCCGGAAAGCCACTCTGATCCACGGTAAGACTGAGGAATGCGGCTCCGCCCGAAAGCTGAAGCTGTTCGCCACTAGGAATAATGTAACTGCAGGACAGGTCGCAGACCAAGTGGGGAAGAAAGAAGATGCGCCCTGCCCAGGCCCCTGGGTTAGGAAAGACAGAAGAGCCCACGGGACAGGAGATTCACGCCCAATCAGCACGGAGGGCGCAGACTCACAGGGAGCCCCCCTGAGGGGGGAGGTGCGTCTTCACGGACCTGGGCTCCCAGTGCCGGGTACCTGGTCTGCCGCACTGAGACACAGGATGGCCACACGTGGGCAAACAAGCACGTAACCTGCACTCCAGGCGGGGAACATCCCTACACCAGAGAGATGATCACTGCTCCCACCAGAACGAAGCCCCACCCCAACCCAGCCTCTGAACTAAACCTCCCCTTAAAGCCACCTGTCCCTTAATTTAACCCTCGTAACCACCTGAAGAAGCTGAGGCACAGAGGTTGACTTTCCCAAGATAACCGGGAAATGGGGTAAACTACAGAAGGTTCCAGCTGTACCTGGTCGCTCATATGACATTTCTAACGCCCCGCCCCGCCCCAGTCCCTTCTGGGCTGGTGGGGAGGACGCACTTCCCGGAACACATCACTTACCCCAGTGCTGCTCGGCCCGGCTCACCAGGAAGGGCCTCATTTGGAGGAGGCGGGTAGCATAAATGTGGGCGTACTGCCGGCTGAAGCTGCGCTCCCCGAGCCTGAAGGGCTGGGAGGAGTTGGTGTACGTGGACACGGGCACACGGGCAAAGGTGGCATTGCTGGCTGATGGTGGGGAGAGGAGAGTGTGGGCCCTCTGGGCAGCCTGCTCCGAAAACATGGCTGTGCTACACGTGTGCAGACCCCTGTGCTCGGGCCCAGGAGGCGGTCACTGTGAAAACACAGATGCAGCCTTGCAGCCCCTGCCCAGCCCACGGCTTTCCCGCCATGTCTCCCCTACACCTGCCGGCGTGGGAGGAGGATGGCACAGCTGCAGCCCACCCCAGACATGGTTCAGACAGCACATCACCGCTGCTGGATCCCAACGGGTCGCCATGTCATGCTCCTCCAAAGACGGAGGCAAGGAAAGCTGGGAAATGCTGCTCTCACCTGAGGATCTCCTAAACCCTCTCCGAACCATGCATCCGTTGCCTGCCTCACACCTCTACCTGGACAACTACCTGGCTCTCAAATCCCACATGCCATCTGCCCCCAGCACCTGCCCCATCTCAGGTACGAGGCCAGCCTTACATAAGCTACCAGAAAATAATACGCCTATTTTAAATAAAAATGAAACAAAATCTACACCAGTCACTCCTCTGCTGAAAAGGCTCCCCATTTCCGTGACTGAAAGCCCAAGTCCCCACAACGGCCTGAGATCTGCCCCAGCTCTTCTCCCGGGTTCCTGCCCGCACGTTGCAGACTCGCTGGCTCCCCATTCCCCGCTCTTTGCTCACACCTCACTGTCAACCCTCCCCTGGCGCTTCTACGTCTCCCATTCTGATTTCCGTGGCATTGACTAGGAACCTATTGTGAGTTTACGGTCCGCCCCCGGTAACTGGGACACGAGCTCCCGGACTGCAGCGGCCCGGGCCGCCACCGGACGGTCGACAGTGCACCGCTCACAGTCTCTCCTCTTCCGTGTACCTTTTCAGCGCGGCTGCCAGGCGCTTGTACCCTGGTTCCGCCGCACGGCTCTGGGCCACCGCGGAACCTGAACTAACTTCCGGCCCGAACGTGCGGAGCCGGGCCGCGGCCCCGGAAGGAGCCCCGCCGGCCCCGGCCCGCGCTCTGGCTTCGGCTCGGCGCGTGCAGCAGGGAGCCTGCGAGACGCCGCCCAGCCCGCCGCCACGCGCGGACACCGGAGCCCCAGCCCTGGCGCCGCCGCCGCCACGCGGGTCCCGGGACGCAGGACCTCAGCCACCGAGCCCCGCGCCGCCAGTCTCCCTCCGCCTCCCGCCAATCCACGCGCGCCCCCGCCCACCTCCGCGCTCCGCCTCTCGCCCGTGCCCGCCCATCACCGCCTTCGACCAATCGACGAGCTGCCCGTTCCGTCCATCACCGCGGGGCCCGCCCGCCGACGCGCCCCTCCTCCCGCCAATCCGCGCGCGCCGCCCCGCCCACCTCCTCTCACTGAATCCCACCAATCTGCGCGCGCCGCCCCGCCCACCTCCGCGCCCCGCCTCCCGCGCGGCACACCCCGCCCACCTCCGCCTCCAGCCAATCCGCGAGTGCCCCGCCTCTGGACGCGCCCCGGGTTTCCCGGACTACGCGGGGCCCGCGGGGGCCGTGGGACTCGCGCGCTTGCCTGTGTCGAGGCGCGTGCCTGAGGTCAGCCCGCGGAGGGCAGGGCCCGGGACTGGGATCCCGGACGGCGGAGCAGCGCTTAGGAGTAGGGTCAGTGTTAGGGAAGCGGACGGGGTGTGGCCCAGCCTCCACCGGGGCCTCCCGCATCCTCCATCCCGCGCCGCCCCCGCTGCGGAGTGCCCTCTCCCGCACAGGCTCTGAGGCCCCGAGCCCCGAGGCGAGCCCGGGCGCCCTAGCCGTGGAGCCCGCTCGCCCTCGCAGCCGGGGGGGGGGGGGCCTGTCGCACGCGCGGCGCGTCATTTCGCGCGCGCCGCTTCCGGTGCTGGGCCCCGTCTCCACGACGACGGGGGTCGTGACGTCGGTGGCAGCCGAGAGCTTGGCGGCCGGGGGCGCCTCAGGCGGGCCAGTGCGTCTCAGGCTCCCGCAGCCCCATGAGGACGCGGCAGGCGGCGGGGGGCCCCGGGGCCGGGCGGAGCCGCAGGGACCCCGCCGTCTGTCCGGGGCGGTGTGTGTGCCGCGGTCCCCCGCTCGCCACCCGCCGCCGCCGCTGCGCCCTGGACGGAGGACAGGCGTGTGGGGCGTCCGTGCGGCATTCCGGGGAACGTGCTGTTGCGACCATGCAGGGCCGGCCCGCAGCCCTTCCCCTCCCTGCGGTCCGGCTGCAAGTGCTGACTCCGCACGGCAGGAGACGAACCCCGATTTGTTCTCTCCACGTGAAACCGAAGATGTTCTTAAATGTGTAGATGACAGAAGGGCTCAGGGCTCCCGGCAGGCCTTGCGGCTTTACGGGGTTGGGCTCCTTAGAATAAGTGCGTTTCCACGGAAGGCCAGGGCTGGGTGGACCCGAGTCGCAGGGAGAAGGCCTTTCGTGATGCTCACTAATGTGTTTTTCTTTATCGTGGTAAAATCTGTATGACATAAGACGTACCATTTGAACCATCATGAAGTATACAGCTTGGTGGCACTCAGTGCATTCGGTGTTGTGTAGCCATCCCCACCATCGTCTCTTTTCCATCTTTCCACGCTGAAGCTCTGCACCTGTTACACCGCCTCCCCCCACTCCTCTCCCAGCCCCTGTCAATTCCAGTCTTCCTTCTGTCTCTATGCATTTGCCTGTTCCAGGTACCTCGCAGAAGGGGAATCATACAGTATTTGTTTCTTTGTATCTGGTTTATTTCACTTAATATCTTCAAGGTACATCCATATTGTACCATGTGTCAGAACTTACTTCTTTTTTAGGAGCCAGTAATACCTCATTGTTCATACGTACCACATCTGTATATCTATTCAGTCCATCAATGGAGGTTTAGCTTGTTTCCATCTTGAAGCTATCATGAATAATGCTGCTTTGAATGTGGGTGTCGAGGCCTCGGTTTCAGATCTTTTGGGTATATACCTAGAAGTGGAATTGTGGGGCAAATGGTAAGTCCATGGTTAATTTTCTGAGGAGCGGCCACGCTTGCCCACAGCAGCTGCACCGTTTGACATTCCCACCAACAGTGCAGAAGGCTTTCAATTTCTCCACATCCTCTCCAACACTTGGTCTTCTCTGGTTTTTTGATAGTAGCCGTCCTAATGGGTGTGAGGTACCGCCTCAGTTGGTTTTTATTTTCATTTCCCTGGTAATTAGTGATGTTGGACATCTTTTCATGTGCTTGTTGGCCATCTGTGTATCTTTGAAGAAATTCTCATTCAAGTTCTGTGCCCATGTTTTAACTGGGTTATGTTTTTGTTTTTTTAATTCTAGGAGTGCTTTATATATTCCAGATATCAATCCCTTGTCAGATATGTAATTTGCAGATGTTTTCTTCCATTCCATGGGTTGCATTTTACTCTGTTGACACTGTCCTGTGATGCACACAGTTTTCATTTTGATGAAATCCAATCATACTCTGTTCTTTTTTGGCCTCCTGTGCCTTTGGTGTCATATCCAAAAAGCCACTGCCAAATCCAATGTCGTAAAGTTTGCCCCTTGTGGTTTCTTCTTCTCAGAGTTTTATAGTTGTAGCTCTTAGGTGTAGGTCTTTGATCCCTGTAGGATTAATTTTTGTATATGGCCTTAGCTGTAAGGGTTTAACCTCATTTTTTTTGCATGTAGATATCCAGTTTTCCCAATGCCATGTTTTGGAAAGACTGTCCTTTTCTCATTGAATAGTCTTGACATCCTTGTCAAAAGATCATTTGACCACACATGCAAAAGTTTATTTATGGGCTCTCTGTTACACTGGCCTGTATGTCTGTCTTTATGCCAGTACCACAGTGTTTTGATTATTGCAGCTTTGTTGTAGATTTTGAAATCAGAAAGTGTGAGTCCAGTCTTCCCACTTTGTTTTTTTTAGGATTCGGGGTCCCTTGAGATTCCATGTAAATCTTAGGAAGGATTTTTTTCCATTTCTGCAAAAAAAATATCATTAGGGTTTTGATAGGGATTGCATTTAATCTGTAGATCCCTTTGAGTAGTACTGACACCTTAACAATATTAAATCTTCCAATCCATGAACATGGAATGTCTTTCCAGTTATGTCTTTAGTTGTTGCTTTTTTCCTTCAGCTGAGACAGCAGAAGAGATGATTTATTGTACACGTGTTACATTCGGCCCCAAATGAAAACAGATTTAGTCCTGAAAGTCACAGGTCCAGGGCAAAGGACCAAAAGGGACTGTTTTGGTATGAACAAGGTGGGCCTCTGAAAGGTGGTCCTTGCAGTCAGATGGTGATGGATGTTCTAGATTCATTGACTCAAGCTCTAGAAAGTAGGCGTGCGGTCCACTGATTGGTACCAGCGTCCCTGGCCTCTGGCTTTCCTTGTTTCCACTCCTGTGGCTTCCATGGGTGCACAAGCTAGCAGTTTACTTGGACCTTGGCCTCCTCTTTCTTCTTTTTCTTCTCATACTGAGCGTTTGCCTCTTCCTCCACTTGGCTGGCATGGCGTGGAGGTTTTCAAGAAGATGGTGCTGAGGCTGAGAGAGCCTCTATTGTTTTCAGCAATGCATTTTCGTTTTCAGTGCACAAGTGTTTTGCATCCTTGGTTATGCTAATTCCTAAGTATTTTATTCTTTTTGATGCTATGTAAATGGATTTTTAAATTTTCATTTTCAGATTGTTTATTGTTAGTGTATAGAAATGCACCTGATTTTTGTATGTTGATTTTTTGTGTATCTTGCAACCTACTATGCTGAATTCATTTATTAATTCTCATGTGTGTGTGTGTATGTTTGTCTTTAGTGGAATTATTAGGGTTTTCTACATATAAGATCATGTAATATGCAAGAAGAGCATTTTTTTTCTTCCTTTCCAATTTGGAAGCCTTTTATTTCCTTTTCTTGCCTACTTGCTCTGGCTAGGATTTCCAGTTCTATGTTGGTGAAAGCAGGCATCTTCATCTTCTTGATTTTAGGGGAAAAGCTTTAAGTCTTTTACCATTGAGTGTGATGTTGGCTGTGGGTTTTCCATATCTGTATTTTAGTATCCAAGGTACTTTTCTTCTACTCTTAGTTTGTTGACTGTGGTTTTTTTTTTCTTCACATGAAAGGATGTTGAATTTTGTCAAATACTTTTTCTGCATCAATTGTGGTCTTTTTTTTTTTTTTTCTGTTAATGTGGTGTATTACAGTGATTGATTTTCATATATCCAACTATTCTTGCATTTCAGAAATAAATCCCACTTGATGGATTTCTGAACCATTTGGTGGAATTACAAACCAAGGTTACAGTAAGACTAGCTGAGCTGGAAGGACACACTCCTCTGTGTTTCTCCTTTATCCCACATTCACAATACTTCTGACATAAAATGTGTGGGTTTTCCACACATTAAGCAATTCTCTGTGACACCAGCTGAGTGTCCCATAAGGCACTTCAATTCTGACATCATCTACCTGGGGTTACTGTCAGATCTCACAAGGAAGGGCTCAGACCCACAAGACCGCCCCCACCTCAGCTGCCCATCTCAAGTTCCAGCTGTAACCTTTACTTCTGACCAAAGAGCTATAAATCAGTTCCCACAACCCTGAACCTTGGGTTTCATAATTTGCTAGAATGGCTCATAGAACTCAGGGAAACACTTAAGTTTACCATTTTATCATCCAAAAGAATATGGCAAAGGAGACAGATGAACAGCCAAATGAAGAGATATGTAGAATGAAGTCAGGAAAGATCATGAGCCTCAGGAACTTGAAGTTGTGAAGTTGGCCTGTGTCACCCTCCTGGTACGTGAATATACTCATTGACCTCAAAGCTCTCCCAACCCCATATGTTAGGGATTTTTATGGCGACTTTATCCCGTAGTCATGATCAATCATTAGCTCACTCTCTAGCCCCACTCCCCATCTCAGAGGTTGGGGGTGGGCAGGGCTGAACACTCTATGCTCCTAATCATGGCTTGATCTTTCTGGTGACCAGCCCTCCCCCTAAAGCCATCTAGGAGCCCACTCAGAATCCCCTTATTAGAACAAAACACATTCCTTTCACCCAGGAAATTCCAAGAGATTTAGGAACTCTGTGTCAGGAACTGGCATCCCGAGGCCAAATAGTAGAACAAAATATGTTCCCGGTGCTCTCATTACTCAGGAAATTACAAGGGTTTTAGGAGCTCTGTGTCAGCAGTCAGGGGCAGAAACCAACATATATATTCTCTGTTATTTCACACTAGCTTTTATAATTGTCTGTGTATTTTTACCTTTACTGGAAATTTATTTCTTCCTTTGGCTTTGAGTTACTGTCCAGTGTCCTTTCATTTTCTACCCAAAGGACTTCCTTGAGCATCTCTTGCAGGGAAGACCTAGTGATGAACTCTCAGCTTTTGTTTATCTGGGAATGTCTTCATTTTCCCCTCATTTTTGAAGGACAGTTTCCAGAGGTAAGATTCTCAACTGACAGTTTTTTTTTTTCTTTTAGCACATGAATGTATCAGCCCACCACCTTCTGGCCTCCAAGGTTTCTGCACCAGATGGCGTGCAGGGCGCTTTCTTTCGATGCATCCCCTGAATCCAAGGGTCTGTCCCCTGGAGTGTGTCCACACAAGGTTGGGTAGCAGATCCTGATAAGGGTCTTTCCAGGGAGGTTGAAGAGTCTTTCTAGAGGTGTCTCTTCCAACAAACGAGATCTCCAGGTTGCAAGGTATGATGCTCCAGGTCACTGTGTCCCAGGGACGCACTGTGAACGGTGCTCCCCCAAAGCAGGACTATTTTAATCGGAGTAGTTAGGCCTTTACCATATTAAACATATCTCCTTTTTTATCAACTGTGGGTCAGAGGACATGTGTAAGTGTGTACTGGATGCCCCGTGACTGCCTCGAAGTGTGAGAATCTGTGAGCTCCCAAGGGGGTGGACCCGAGATGTAGAGGCCCACAGCCATGCTTTATGAGGCCAAGGTATTTGGAAGGTCTTTACGAGTTTTGCCACTTGAGACCTAACAGTGCTGTTAGCGTTGATTAACCCTGAGGACTGAGCCCGGTATGCGCAGTGGAAGTATTGTAGAGTCAGTCAGACTGCTCGGGCTTGCCTGTGGGTTCCCAGAGAACCAGAAAGTGTGAGAGGGGCTCCCTAGGTTGGGGATA